ACGAGGTATGGGGACGACCCGTTTCACCCTCATACCGGACGGGGTATTGAAGTTCATGGTTTTGGCGCCCATACCGGACGGGGTATGGGGACGACCCTGGAATCAGATTATTAATGTTAATGGTTCACGTGTAGCGGAGACCCCCTATGGATCTCCACGGATACTAATAGGTTGGTAAAAGAGGAAATTTGTTGTATGATTATTGAAGTACAAAGTATAACATGTGTTATGTTACAAAGCGTATATGATTTTATGATGGTTATAATGTTTTTGTTTCCATATGATATTTTTATGAATCTCACCGAGGTAAGTAGACAGTAAAAATTTTTATTGTTGATAAATGAGTTTGTTAATAATTATGCTCCATTGGTCGCTTTTGTTTTCTACCAGCCTTTACTTCTGTGGCAGTGAGATAATGTGATGTCTTTACTGGGCTAGTGTATCTCATTCCTTACTTAACTATTTCAGATCAGAAAGACGTGGTTCTTGAGCCCGTTCTACAGGAAGACGACGAGTTAGACGTCTAGAGACTTCATAGTTCTATTTATAGTTTTTATTTCGAGTATTTCTTTTAATCAGCTTATTCTTTCATACGTTAAATACGTTTATGGTCATTGTGTAAGGGATGTTAATCAAAATTTTTATTTCGCTTCCGCATTTAAGATTTTTTATACATACATCTTCATTTAAATTTTTGGAGCCGTTACACTTAATGCGTTGGACAGCTCCCAGGCATGCTCAGAATATGCACATTTATTCGTTTCACTGAGCGCTCAACATGCGAGCGAATAAACGCACATATGTATTGTGTTGTGCAATGAGACAGAGTGAAATGTACTAGTTAATTTTTATATCAATTCAAAAATTTTTGAATAAATTTTTTATATTTTAATAACTACTTTTATGAACTATGATTAACAGAAAAAAAAAAAACAATCAAGCCAAGATCTCTCCAAAAACTACTAAGCTTAAGAAGCTCTTGCATTAGCCTACAATCTACAAAGCGACACCGTTTTCGCTGTATTTGCACCCTACGCCAAAGCCTGCCTAAAAAACTGTAATTTCACTTTCCTTTTTTACCATTTTATTTTTATTTTTGTTTCTCTAGTTTCCTATTTTATCATCTGTAAATGTACCATTGCTCAAATTCCCATAACCAGAACGTCGGTGTGAATCATGCCAGCTTTGGAAGATGAAGATCCCTAGTCTGCGGGCGGGAGACCTAGCAAACCACTAGAGGCACACGCGAATCTTTTCTCTTTGCTACTCCCATTTAACATCCGTGTCCTCTGTATATCTACACTCGCCTCGCAGTTACCTTTCCCTAAACTTGAACTTAGAGATCAAGAAAAAGAGAAGAGCCATGGTGAGGCAACCAGGGAAGCGTAAATGGGGGAATATGGTGGTGATGATCTGCGTTAGTCTTTTAGGTTTTGGACTCATTGCGGATTTCTTCTGGGCCTCTTCTCCTCGCTTCGCTTCTTCTCTCAAATGGTCCCCTGATTCCTCCTTATCTTCCACCAACAACTTAATTGTGCCCCTTGGACCTCGAGTTAAGCCCCGGGAGAAGGATAATGTAAGCTTTGTTTCTATGCTTTTATGGTTGCTTATTGGTTTATGCTCAGGCATTTGATTTTACGTTTTCTGTCTTTTTTTGGTCTTGTTTTTCGATTTACTGATTGGTAGCTCCATTCCAGCTTAGTGTTTATGTTGCTATTACCTAGAAAGTTTGGAAGAAACCGGTGTTTGAAAATGTGAGCTAGTGGTTGAACTGATTGGAATCCCACTGGGTTCTCCAAGCTGAATCTAGGAATAAGCTGATCTCATTTTGCCTAGTGAGAATTTAATTGCTTATCTTATACTTTGTGTCTGTTGGTGTCTGGCTCTGCGAAGATTTGAGTATATGTGTATTGGTTATGTTAAAAATTGCAGTTTTTGCAGCCTTATAAGTGTCAACATGATTCATTTTATCTCACGGGGTGATAAGTTACTTCTATTTTGATCACATTGTTTTCAGTTTCTTATTTCATCTTAACATCACCTCCATTTTTGTTTGCATGAAGTTGGTTTGATAGAAGTAACTCAGCTGATTGCCAAAGGTTAGTTTTATTTGATTCTTCTTTTTTGGGAACTCATTTATTTGAATGATTATGGTGATGGTCTTTCTCTTTATCCTTAGTCCTCCCAAAATTCTGCTAGCAAAAAATTAAAAAAAAAGGTTTCTTTGGTTACTAATACATTCTGAACGGCACCTGACAATTATTCTTTTTGTACTTCAAATTTTTGTTTTTATTTTGCTTGTCAAATGAAAAGACTAGAGACAGTGAGGTTCTTGACTTCCTAGCAGGGGTAATTAACTTAGTTAAATTTGGCTCTTTTTCATTTTAAGGAAATCAAACTGTTGCTGTATTTAAATGTTTACATAATTTCGTGTGGCTAAAAGATGTAGAAAACTTTGATAGTCTGGCACCAATTTTGGCTTTCTCGGTTACTCCTTCAATGTCACTCGGCTATCCTCGTGATAAGCTTATGTTCTTATTCATTAGAAAATTTTTCATTATTATGGTTCTAAAATTGAATTTGGTTATGCCTGGAGGCGACTTAATAACTTCAAGTTCCCAACCTCACTTTTTCTGTAATACTTAATTTTAGATTTGATGTGGTGCAACTTTCTAGCAATTTTGGAACTAGCATGGCCATTTACTTAAGGCCACATGTTCATTTTGTCCCCAAAGCCAGGAACCTTAAACCACTTATTTTGAAGATGACACAGGGCCGATAACAAATTTTACTTGCCCCAAACATAGACAGAAGTGGTCCCTGGTTGTGTGTGGAAGACGCTTTTGCACCAAATGTGGAACTAGTTTTAACATTTTTTCTATATTGAATATATTTTAGTGTGGAGATTCCTTGTCTTAGATGTGTTGATTTTCATCCTTGTAGGAAGAAACTGTTAAAGGTAGGAAATATGGTACTACTCCTGAAAGGTTTTTATCTGCAACTTTTGCCGACTTACCTGCACCAGAACTGAAATGGGAGAAGATGCCAGCTGCACCTGTGCCTCGTTTAGATGGGGCTGCAATACAGATCAGGAATCTTCTGTACGTGTTTGCTGGATATGGTACTATTGATTATGTAAGAACCTCTTTTCTTAAGTTTCTTTGTGTTATTAAGCTGATTTGATGCCCAAAACTTCTGTTCAGTATTCAGTTTATATGCTTCTGTCTTGATTGGAAACTATTTCCCCCTCCTCCTCCCACCTCAATCCTTACCCTTAATTTATTTAGAGCAAATTATCAATTTAGTCCTTGAACTATGAACTATCTTGTAATTCAGTCCCATTTTCTTTTCATTATAATTTGATTCATTATAAAAGTACTTTCTTTTTTAAAAAAATTTGCTTACATGGCCTAAGAAGTGACATAAAAAATATAATGTTTCTGTTTATTACTGAGAATTGAAAACATATTCCAACAAATGATTATTTCATGACATTTCTTCTTTTCTATTGTTTGTTGTTATCATCTGTATGACTTAAATTAAAAAAAAAAGGATTGTTGTTGTTAAAATTATTAAGATCAATATCTAATTGTTATAGCTACCAAACTCTGTAGAAAACGAAATATTGGCAAATTAGAAATAATTCTTTTCAAATTTCTATCAAAAGTTTCAGAATTACATAAACAATATGAATTGAAACAATTTTGTAAGTTAAATGATCAAATTTCAACTGGAAAGAAACTTTTGGGACTTAATTTTTATATGACAAATAGTCGGAGTCTAAGATAATAATTTCCCCTTTATTTTATTTTTAGTCAACCACTTGTTCACCTTCCTACATGGTTTTCTAGTTGACCGAAAATTCTCCTTCTGCATCTGATTGAATATAACAAAAGATTCCTTTGGTGGTGCTATGGTTCATGAGCAATAAAGAATCAAGATAAACACATGATGATATATTCTGTTTTGGTTGCTGACTACTAATGGCCGCATGCTTTGCCACTAAGAATTGGCTGTACAAGCCATCATTCTCCGTACTAAAATAATTGTGACAACCATATGTTTACTTCTCCAAAGAAAAAGTAAAAAAGAACTATAGAAACAAAAAATATTATTATTTATATACATGCTTGCTGAAGCTGAAAATATTTTCTGATTATTTTTCTGCATCTTATTCTTGTTCCTACCTGTAGGTTCATTCACATGTTGATATTTATAACTTTACGGGTAACACATGGGGAGGAAGATTTGATATGCCCAAAGAAATGGCCCATTCACATTTAGGAATGGTAACAGATGGGAGGTACATCTATGTGGTTACGGGACAATATGGTCCACAATGCAGAGGCCCGACAGCTCGCACATTTGTGCTTGACACAGACACTAAGCAATGGCAGGACATGATTCCCTTGCCAGTCCCTAGGTATGTAGGGATCTTAAATTATTGCTAGAATGACTATTATGTTGATTTTGGCACACTTCTTCCCCCTACCTGGTAACACATCAAGAAAGAGATTAAGTCTGAAATAATCTTCACCTTTATTATTTGTGATTACACTGCTTTATACGTATTCCACACTTTTTTTGTCAATTCTTGGCTTCCAGGCTGGTTTTTTTTTATTCTTGGCAACCAGACTGGATGCTATCATGTGTTTGCTAGAGAGGAAGGTA